ATCATGAAAAGTATTGATATACCTTATAAGCGTTAATAAATATTTTTCATCAGATATGACTTAAGTTCTACTTTGACTACAGTAACTTTTTCAAATTGGAAAGTATTTTCTTCTAGGTTCTTGAACAGTGGAAATAAAAATTGTGACCTCAAAAAGTGTTCACATCTGTAGATGTTTGCCTTAGAGAGATGCGCATAGGCGTTATATATCTCTAGTCGGTACAATGTATATCAGTGTCCTGGTAGGTATGCAATATACCAATTTGTTTCATCATATTGGTACTGTCCGTAACCTAAAAAGAGAATCAGATATAGCGACCAGCTTATCAAAAAAATTGTTTCAATTTTAGAATATTTCTGGCTTGTGTCATTCATTTTCATGCCTATTTTCTAAAAATTTCAAAAATGCACATTCTATTTCAGGAAAATTAAAGATGTTTACAATAATGTAGTATTTTTCTATAAGAATGGTTACCATTCTTATTATTTAGGAGAATTTCACCCATTTTTGCACTTTGAATCCATTATAATTAGACCAATCTATAACATATCGTGAATCTTTTGGGAGATATTATATTTGAGATTGTAAGGAATAGATTGGTTGGTCAATTGTACATGTTGCTTGTAATTATGTCATCCCCATAGATCTGATTCTGCCTTTAATTCCCATTGCAAAAACGAATCCTACACTTTGTTTAGTGTACTTATTATTCGTCGTGAAATATAATTGAACTTTGATTGTATACACGTTGTGTCTCATATTTTTTATTTTTTGTTTATATATCATTTGAAAAAAAAAGAAATTGGTGTAGAAAAAGGTGAACGGATATATAGGTTTCGCTGTAGCTATGAATCTGTTGCATTTATTGATTTAAAAAAACAGATGTTAGTATGGCCCGACATTATGTATTGATTTTACTTTTTTAAATATTTATAATTAAAACAAACCTTGAGTTGAAATGATTATGATTAAATTAAATCAATTAAAGTCTTTCTCTATAATGTTATATCCCTGTTTAAGATTTGCTTATAATTAGGTCAAATTAGGACATGTAGAAATGCATGTATATACTGTTGCCCATATGTATTGGATAATTGACACCACAGAAAATGTTCAAAGGATGTTGACACAAAACGGGTTGATAATAAGGCAGACAATTTCAGAGCCTGTTTATTTAAATATAATTTATCAACTTGGGCCAATTGACGATGATTCCACAGATAATCAGCAAAATTAGAAACGTTGAACGAGTACAGATTGGGCAATAAATAATAAGTAATGGATCTACTGAAATGAGGATTTTCCATGTTGAAAATATCCAATCGTTTATATGGACACTTGCCATGGGTATTTATGCTTTCATTGAATCGTCACTGTCAATATGGACATTATATAACTATTACTAATTTTCGTATGCAAATATCTACATATTATTTATTGTGTATTAGCTTATTATTTCCCAAATTATATTGCAAGTAATATCAGTAACGTATTTCACCTAGCGACCTCTATTATTTTAGATAATATGTAAATGTATCTGATATTACTACTTTATATTTCGAACTAAGTATGATTTACATCTTCATGATATTCCTACAATTCCATAAATAGTACAGTGCATGGCAGAAGCGTGACGGAATTAATGTAAATAACAGCATTAATTGAACATTTATTCTATGATCCTCGATATCCTATAGTGACACTCATTACAAATAAAAGGAATGCAATTAAAATCATTAGTAGAGAGTTTAAGCTAGCATAGAAAAGCAAAACGAAAACGTATACGTTTCAATCACCCATATAAATGTCATGTACATTTATCGCTGTATATTGATTCTTGGACTTATCGTTCGAGTTCATGTTGTGAAAAAAGAGCGAGCTTAAACTCTCTATTATCACATTGGGTGACTTAAGTGTTACAATTTTTTTTAATTCAACGACATCTATTAAAAAGCATTAAACATTTTGCAAAACATGTCGTATTATATCTAAAATATAAGCCAATGCATTAGGACAGAACATTTTTGCTATAATTTGCAATAACAGCAATATGTTGCAAACTGAATGCTTTGTCCTAAATTAATTTGTGATTCGATAGTTTTTTCAGTTGATTTAACTATTAGTTAGGGTGGCAACAGTTATCATAGTTAGAACTTGATGCCAATGCAATACATAAAATATTGATAATTATCTTGTTTCTAATACTGTATAAATTCAAAATGATAATTTTTGCTCTATTTAATCGTTTAGCATTTTGCATTCTCTGTACAATATTCTAGAAATTTTCCAGCATATAAACAATGTTTTGCAGTGATGTCATCAGGACTCACTCAGGTGACAAAAAACTTTTTGAAAAAATTGAAAATCGTTTTTCAATGTCAATCTTTTCAAAATATGCGAAACTTTAAAAATAAACCAATGTTGATTGTCAAAGAGGTTTAAAGGAAGAATGTATTGTGTTTAAGATACCATTGTACCATTGGTTGCTATGAGAACTAAAATTTTGAGATGTATTTTTCTCTGAACCATTTCCATGCATTGATGAGTTCATTTCTCACTTATTTACGAACCGTTTTTCTCAATTTTCTCGGCAAAAACATGTGAGGATGAATGCTATGTTTTGGTATAAATTAACTCATATTGAAGGATTCTCTTGAATGGGATCTCTTAAAGTTAGTTTTAAATAAATTCATAATTTTACGAACAAAAAGTCGTTCAAAAACCCATTTTTTCCTGATAACATTGGGTAACACTTCAATATAAGCCAAAGTGGTTTAAACTTTTAATGCGGGCTTTAATGCTTTGACTTTATAAGGGAAAATATTTCTTCAAATTATGGCAAAAATGGTTTATTTTAATTAATATAGCAGCTTCCTTAAATGAGTACCAATAATTACCCGGACGCCCTATAAACTCAGGCCAATGAAACCATGCCATGCATGTAGCATAATTTGGGCACACGGGTCCTTTGTTGTAAACACCGAAATAGATTTGCACTGTGGCACCTCTTGTACCACCAAGTCCCTCTAAATCTCAATGCACATTGATAAGAATTATGAATGTCCTGATCCATATATGTTGTGCTGAACTTCATGCCATCGTGGTAACTGAGTGAATCTCCCGCAGTTCCACTATAACCCCCGACATGCAGACGATAACCGTCCCCAGAGTCAGCTACTTTGAATACCGAATATTGTGCGCGCGCGATTGTGTTGGACGGTGGCCACATCTTTAAATCAACACGTAGGGTGTATTCAAGTTGCTTCAAAACACTCACCAGATTGTGAAGTCCAAGAAAGTATTCCCCGTTACGATCACCAAAACCTAACTGGTATTCCTTATATGTTCTTTAAAAGTCTACACCTCCGTCAAAACGCCTAGAAAGATACAATCACCCCTCTTTGCAATAGGATTTGAAAATTCTTCCTTCGGCTGTGTTGATTGTTTTAACACCTTCGTAGTCCGGGTCATCAGAGCAGTCTCTAAAATAGGTCCCATGATACGATCGATGTTATTAAAAGAGAATTGCTTCTCAATTCAGATCATGTTGAATTTAAATGTATACAATACTCGTCAATTATTTGTACTTTTTTATAAACAATTAGTTATTTCAGATATCAATAATGCGTGGAGAGAAGTAACGCAACTTAAATCTGGTGTTACTCGAATGATTTATGTCTGATTGCTCCTCACAGTTATACAAGTAGCAAAGCATTGGATCATATTCAAATCCCTAAAGACCCCCTCACATTTAAACGAATCCACTAAACGCAGGATTGTGAATTGGATAAATTGTCAATTCTGGTGATTGGGAACACGTAAACATGCGAACCGATCGAAGTGCGACTTTGCGCATGATTCCGAAGTCGTCCGAAGCTCTCCGAAAAGAGACCTCCGCATGCAAACACCACACCGATGTGCAAATTACAGAAACTTATGAGAACGAATTTTACTCTTCTTCGTCAGTACACGTAAGTTGACGTGCGGGTAGTGAGGGGGGGGGGGGGGGGCTAAGCACTCAGAAACATTATTACCATCTTGGTATTTTCGTTTGTTTATTTTAGAGACGGTAGTGTGTTGAGAAATATTCATGTTTAAACCATGAGAATGTCGTTGATATTGTTCTCTTAAGTCTTTTAAGTCATTGAGGCAACCCAAAACGTATGTCTTGGGCTAATTGTTAAATATAGATTGGTAGAGAGAAGCGTTCTGTCTTCCCAAGGGCTTTGAACACTGGATTAATATCCAATACAAGAAACAATACAAAATCGAATACCCAAGAGACAAAATGAGGCAAGTGAAATAATAATGATATTCGAGTCACCTGATCAATAATATGAATTGTTGGACGATATATTATGATTTGCATAACATTCATTATATGTACGTACCAAGTAGATCCAAAATGCTTCTATTGACGTTTATAAAGCCCCCTCTATGCTGAAATGAACCGATAAAAATGTTGTCAAATATCAAGATAATATTGAAAGCCAAACAGTCCGGAATGACATAAACAACGTTATTAATCCTTGACATGATACAGAAAAAATATTCAAATTCAGTTAATAAGTCTTGGTCACATATTTGATTAAGAATCTTGGACCCCGGGGGGTTCACTGAACATTTGGTATGTCTGTTGGACTTTATTTTGGTTAGTATGGGAACACATTGAAATTTGATGGGAACATACTGATATCTGAGGGTTCAGCCAAGGCCTCCCGCCAAAATTTCTATGCATTGAACCCCCGGGCCTTGGACCTAGTATGAGATGCAAATAAATAAGAGATCTTCACTGGGAGACTACCTTCTTTGTAATGTAGCTTTGTAACGATTGCAGAAAATGAATTAAAGATGTTCATTTGGAAGATACCTAGTGTAAAGTGTCGTCTGCTAACGATGCTAGAACAAGAATAAAAGATGTTCACTGGGAAGATACCCTGTGTCGAGTGTCGTCTGCAAGCGATGCTAGAACAAATACAAGAATGTTCACTGGGAAGATACCTTGTGTGGAGTGTCGTCTGCTAACGATTCCAGAACATGAATGAGATGCCACGGGGGAGGTTCCCTTTGCTGCAGAATCGTATATAATCGATAGCGAACTTTAAATAAAGAGTGAAGCATAAGAAAATAGTCGGCATTGAGATATCGGAAAGGCAATTGGAAATATTCCTTAAATAGACTGTAAGTATAGTATTTTCGTTTTCTACGTTTCTACTTTATGTTACAAGTTGCATGATTACTTAATCATTATGAGAAGATAACAGTGGAAATAATTAACTAAAAAATTAAAGATACATTATTCATTCGTGCTATTTATAAACGTGTTTTACTAATCGTGCAATGTTCACTTAATTCATGATATTCTCACAGAATTAGTGAAAAAACATTGTGATATTATTCCGATAGCTTGTCGTTTTTATGATATTTTCACGACGACCAATGAATTGAGGGTATTTTTCTGGTGACTGATAAATACTCATACAGGGTCAAACAAATTTATGATAATCTCACTTGCATAAACAATATATGATATTTTCACCTACAAAATTGATGATATTTTCACTGACAACAATTTTTTCTCATTTATTTACTATAATTGTCAAACATTAAAGAGAGAATCAGATATAGCGAGCAGCCAAAAATCATTGTTCCAATTTCAGAATATTTCTGGCTTGTATATCATTCTTTTTCATGTCTATTCTCTAAAAATCCCAAAAGTACACGCTTTATTTCAGGAAAACTAAGATTTTACAATTATATAATGTATTATTTTTCTATAAGAATGGTTACCAATCTTATTATTTGAGAGAATCTAAACATTTTCACTTATTTTTGCACTTTAAATCCACTATAACTTCACCAATTTATAATATATCGAAGATCTTTTGGGAGATTTTGTATTTTGGATTGTAAGGAATAGATCGGTAGGTCAAATGTACATGTTGCTTGTAATTTTGTCATCCCCATAGATCTGATTCTGCCTTTAATTTACAGGGTGGGCACTATATACCAATACGAGGGTAAATATATATTAGACTTGCATATATCAAATGTGTTCGTTGAAAATATAAGACAATATTTTGGGAAAGAGAAGGAACTATAATTCATAGATTACATACTAAAACAAAATATAAAAATGCAAAATAAATGCCTGCACTACATATAAATTGAAAACACAAAGAAAATACAAATAAGATTCAATGAGGAAACAATAAACCTGATCATGGTTTGTATTTCAATTTCAAAAAGCATTTAGATTGATCAAGACTGAAGGGAGGATCGTAATTTATTCCATGTTACTGATCTAGAATATTGAACAGTGTAGCTGTAGTCCTAGTAGGCTACGTCCTTTCTCCATTTCTCTATCGAATACATAAATAGTAAAATGTAGAGCTGATGGTAGCACCCTGGTGTTTGATTAAGTACCTTACCATTGCTCGCATATTTTGTAAAAAAAATTATACAAACATCTGTGTTTAGCAGAAACTACTACATTCTATTACCAGGTGCGAAAGCAGACACACACGATGGTTCAACCTCGAACTTTTTCTTAATATATAGGTTATCAAGTACTGCATTTTTCCTTTTTCTTGTAGGTTATTCCACCCCTCACATTAGTTATAATTACTATAAAGTATGGATGCTTTAATAGGAAAATGGCAGCAAGTCGGAAGTGTTGAAAATATAGATGGTCTTCTAGATGCCGCAGGTACGTTTTTGTGTTTACATTTAGAATAATTTAATTTAAGGCCAGTTGTTTGTGGATAATTACCCAATATATATTTTACTCAGGATTGTATATATACACCGCGTCGTACACAATATAAATTTGAATAAAATAACGTCGAATGCTATATAATCATCTTAATATATAGTATTCAGAAAATGTGTAGAGAGCAATAGGACTGGTGTATTGAATTGTTGATGCTATATGCTCAATCTTTTTCAGCCAATAAAATGTCAATGAACAATTTTAGGTGTCTACGAGCGTGTCAAACCGGAAATTACTTTTGTCACTGTTTCTATTTGATTGGAACAAGATAGTTTTACACATTTTCTCACATATTTTATGACAATTAATCTATTTTCACTGTAATGTAAGTACGCTTAGGTAATATTTTGTATTGACAATATGCACAAACGATTATACTAAGAAGAGTTCAAAATATATTGGTATTTGACTAGAACTTAGATACTAGTTGAATTTATTTTTCGGAAGGAAATAAGTAATTATTGGCAACTTGTTGAGCTTATTGTCCCCGTGTATTTGAAAAACTCGATTTGACATTTCATTGAGTACATTAACAACTATAAGCTAACAAAACGTATTCCTAATATAATCATCGTCGTTGTCGTCTTCGTCATCATCGTTAAGTATTTATAATACCATTAAGTGCAGTCTTCCGTATATTTCAATGTCTCCTGTTGAATAAACCATTCCTTTTGGTTGTTTGTAGCAATTTGCAAACCTGGCGCATGCGCATTGACGCAAAATAAATGTTAAGTGTGTTCGATCATGTGACTATGGCATAAAAAGTCACCCGATCATCATTGTTCGTAAGTTACAGCTTCAAATGAATAGGTTAATCCGGTAGCCGTTAGTCGTTAGTTGGCTTTGCGAATACAAGCTTAGTACATGTTAATTTTGAAAAGTACAACCAATAACTTCATCAATTTAACCAATTCTTTGGTTTACCAAAAGGTTCCAGCAAGTCAACAAGTCTTTATAATGCTTCAAACTAGCTTTAATAGTAAATTATAAATAACAATTTTGTGTAACCATTTCGTCAAAATTGGCCAGTTTCTATAATAAACCATTATACAATGAACGGACCGATAGATAAAATTACTACCACCTTTTGTCCATGCTGTAATTTGTGGTTCGCTTTTAGCTTATGCTCGAGTCAGATTTGATCTGCGGCAACCGTACGGAAGCTGTAGCTTCCGAAACAGAGAGAAATAGCAGCATAAAATACAGGGATAATCAGTACGATGTACAGATTTTCTATATCGATTTTGTGAATTTACGCCCGCTGCACGCCCGCCGTAGAGCAAATGTAACTGGGAATGGTGAATATGAAACTATATACTAGCACTAGAGATTATAGTAAATTTCACTATGACCTCATCACAGTTGTGCACTGTTCCGTCTTAATTACTGTCAATCATATATAATATGGTAATAATAAGTAAATATAAGTTCCTATGCAAAATTATGCTGTATAATATTACGGAAACTGAGAGCAATTCATTATAATCTATTATACCAATAAAGTGGCTTGTCGGAAGCCACCTAGACTTCAAAGGGTTATATTACCATTTCCATCCCCAAAGTTTCAATAGGACATTTAGAAAAGTCAAGAGCTATTTTAATGCCTGGCAGAATTTCGTTTCACTGTTTGTACACAATATGTGTACCACAACAGCAATCGAAAGCATATTTTTTATTTCAATATATTTACCACAAAACATTATCAAGCAGAATAACTCTTCGATAAAAACGTCACACAAGGGTGTAAGATAATCACAGTGGTTTACCCTATAGCAATCATAAGGGTATTGTATAACAGTTTTTGCTGCACCTGTATTTCGCCTCCCCCCAGTTATTAACGGCATTTAATCTAGTATTCGCTATTGCCTTCTCCTTTCTTCAGATGTTATCTGCGACAGGTTCGTTTTTGCTTCGAATCTTCGATTTCCGGGTATGTACAGTGTATAATGGAGGATAGTTTGCAATGATAAACAAATCGGCATGTACGAGTTTGAAATGAATGCAACAAAAATTGAAAAAGCAGGGGTAAGAGGTTGAAAATTAAGACAACATTTACGAAAAAACATGTGGGTGGGTTGTTTTCATCTTCCCTGTCTCAAAGTCGAAATCATTTTATCATCTCTATTAGTACTTTTCCTGGAGGAAATGCATTGGCCTAACATATGCACCTGTTTTAATCCTGAGAAAATAGCCAAAATCCAACATATGTCTGTCAAAAATCTGTTGCGATACTTTCCCTCCTCCTTTAAACCAATCAAAGTATTCGATTCGAATATCTAGATTGTGATGGTTTCGTGAATTTATTCGGAAAGCTTGTTTCGTAGGATATGCTTGACTGGAAAATAAACATTCTGATTTATCAGAGCCAGTCTTTATCTAATGCTTGAGATGTGTATTCCAATGCATAGTAAGACTATGGATCCCACAATGATGAAATAGTTACAATTGGTAAATTAAAGAACTTCCAAATTTCATAACTGAACATATTTTTCAATAACATTTTTTTCCATTGAACGTACTGATGAGCTCTATGTCGACTTTCTGTCCCTCGTTAAGTCTGCCTAATTCCAAATGATGGGGATACAGAATATCAATTTGCCTTAATAACTACGCTGGGATATTAGGTCTCCAATGTCTGTGTTTTGGCTACAAGATAACTAGTTCCACAAAAATATCGATAAATACTGCATAATATCATGAACTTAACATTTCTACTTGTTAATGAAGGCTATGTTAACATCAAATCGCTTGGAGTCTTCCGGAGATTAATCTATATAGCTAATCAATGCTAAATCCAGTGATTTTATGAATGCACTCTTTGAGTAAGAACCTATTTATACCTTATACATTAGGCAAAGTTAATATTGAAAATAAGAATCAAGTACAATACAATGATATACAGTACAAAAACGCAATTAAATGTAATGCATTGCACAGCAAATTGATCAATATAATACTATTTTGTACGATACGATACGATTAAAAACGATACTATAGAAATATTTATTCCATAATCATTTGTAGTCCCCGGGAAAATAACAGGGAATTAAATTGATATTCAAAAATCTAGTATCGGGATCACTCGGTCTATCGCCCTCGGTCAATATCATATTTTCCTTGGCCAATATCACATTTCCCTCGGAATAAAATTCACATTACAAACCTCCCATTAAATAACCTATATTTACCCCCATGTTATAATACCGAGGAATACTTTTCATGTTGAAAACAAACCATATTGTCCCCCTAATTCCTCGCACGAATATGGTATTCAGTATTCACCTGCCAATTCCTTTCGCGGAAAAGTGTTATTCAGCTTTTAGGAAATCGAACTTCTGCCGAACAACATATTGCCTACTCAAAATATGCGTGTTTGTTGATGTTTTTGTCTTATGGTCTTTATGTCTATCCAACTTACACTCATGTTTATAAAATCGTTTCAGATGCCCCTCAGGAAATACGCCACGTGGCCAAAAATATAAAAGGTGACGTTGAATACTCAAAAAACGGCGACGCATGGCATTTTTGTGCACAGTTTGGGACATTTAAATCTGACAAAGATTTCAAACTTAATGAGGAATTTGACCATATGGGAGTTGGAGGTATCCCTGTTAAGGTATGTTACAAATAACTGAGTACAGAGTATATGTCTCGCATGACTGATACAATTGTTGACCAGTCTCCCCCTTATCGTATGATCTGTAAAATGAAGCCTTCTGATTGGTCAGTTCTTATGCTGTACCAATCTGTATTGCTACTGAGATGGTCCCCATTGATCATCTCCGTTGCAATACAGAAAATATTGGTACGGAGGGACATTCTCAGTAGCAATACAGAGGATCATACGATAAAAACGTTATAGAATGATTTGAAGTGCAATACAGGATATATTCTGCCCTATATATTCTGTATTGGCACTCGACTTCGTCTCGTTCCAATACGGAATTTCTCGAGCAGAATATCCTGTATTGCACTTCAAATCATTCAAAAACTTATATCATGGGTACTGTAATCTATAACATAGTGACGGTCGCACTCGCTGATTCCTGAGTAACATTGACGCATTTGGTTTCATTTCAGTCCACTGTCCGATTTGAAGATGGTAGGTTCGTCGAGTCTCACGTTGCAGCCAGCAAGGGATGGGTTGCAAAACACACTAAAACAATAACAGGCGATACAATGACGATAGTAGGTGTTTATTTCATTTTCTAATCATTTTTACAGATCAAACTGAGACAGATGTGAATACTACTTACATAATCACCAAAGCTAAGTGCGCATGGTGTCTCGATTACAATCTTTAACAACGTGTGTTATTTCATGATAATAATAAGAACGTATTATTACTTCTATCGTCTAGCTTACATATAGTGTCAATATCCTTGCATCCGCACGTTTTGTCAGTTCATGTGTTTGTATTCCTGATAAGTAGGTCAAGGTACACTTTTTAAGGGAACCTGTACGTGAACTTGTAATATTTCGACTTTGAGACGATCTTGGCTGATTCTTGAATTGAGGTGAACTTGTCAAACGGCCTTTAAACGTCAAATACCTAGATATTCACATTTGACCCTGATATGACCTTGTCCCCTAAACATTTACTTTGACCTTAGGTCACCTAATCATGAGTCGCCAAGGGTCAAAGTGTCCTTCAAGTTCCTTAAAATGTCAAATATTTAGATATTGACCAATATAACGATAGCCTTGACCTCAGGTCACCGATTCATAGGTCACCAAGGGTCCCAGAAGCCATTAAAGTCCTTAAAACGGCAAATACTTAGATATTAACCTTTAACCCTGAGATAATCTTTGGTCACCAAAAGTCCCAACAACCCGAAAATGCATTAAAACGCCAAATACCAAGATATTGACCTTCGACAATGGAATGAACTTGAACAAAAGGCATAAACCAAGTTTGTCTTAACCTAAGAGAACAATACACCGACAAATGCTTTATGAAATAAAGATGCAAAATACATATCGGGCAAGAGACTGACAACCTAGACGTACACTCCTCTCCATAGGTTTGGCAACTGGAATCCCCTTTAGGTCACTTGGGTTGATGCTTGGCGGTTTAAGAAAAAATTATCATTTCCAAAATAAAGATTAAAAACATCAAAAAGCGTCGATATGTTATCCAATGTAGATTTCCGACTTCCAAACTTCCGTTTGCCAAACTTGGAGGGGAGTGTAAAATGCTTTAACTTCAAAAATCTTCCGCCTGCTATTAAAGGTGCAACAATTAGTGCAGAGAGGCCATTCAACGATCATGGACCAGTGTCAAAATATATTCAAGTTTGGATATTTCATCAAGACTAACATATATTTTTATTTTCTCCTGAGAAACCATCTAGATGAACATTATTTCAGCTGATATTCCTCTTGAAACGCGATGGATCTTTAAAATCTATAAGTGGGACTCTCTTTATAGTAGCTTTGAACTGAATTTACACTATGTCCGTTAATGCTGCAATTGATAGTTTATCCATACATTTTAAGAAAATAGGTATGTCAAAGAAGGTGTTAAGCCATATACTTTGGCAAATTATTTTCAATAATTTTGTATAATAGACTTTACGCCTTTGTACATGACAGAAAAATAATATCGGAAAATCAAGCCGGTTTCACAAAGAAAGCACGAACAACTGACCACATGTTCATAATACGAACCCTCGTGGATAAATATGTACTAAGTGAAAAAGGGAATATATATATGTGTTTTGTTGATTTGAGGAAAGCTTTCGATACGGTATGGCATGATGGATTATTTTTGAAACTTTTGCAATCGGGTGTAAACGGTTTATTCTATAAAATGATAAAACATATATATTCACAATCAAAAGCAAGAGTCAGACTAGATAATGAGGGTTTATTTACCAATGAATTTGACTGTAACAAGGGAATAAAACAGGGGGACCCCCTGAGTCCTCTTCTATTTAATATATATATAAATGACATTATTAAAACATTAGATCTCAAAACAGACCCATTATTAAATAATAAGCGAATTGGAAGCCTCCTTTTTGCTGATGACTTAGTAATTATCGCATCCTCAAAAGATGAAATGCAAACCAAATTGGACAAATTAGAAAAATACTGTGAAGAATGGCACTTAAATATCAACACTGATAAAACCAAAATTATGGTAATGAATAAAAATGGTAGACTTATTGATAATCACTTCTTTATAGGAAATTACAAAATAGAATCTGTTTCACGATACATTTACCTGGGAATGGAATTAAGCATAAGTGGGTCAATGAGACCTGCAGCCCAGCATATCAAAGACAAAGCTGAAAAGGCAAAATTTAAATTATTAAGTCTAATTTCTAATGGTAATATGAAACCATCATTATGCTTAAAACTATTTGATCAACTCATAAAGCCCATATGCCTCTATGGATCTGATATATGGGGTACGGGTATCTTAAACTCGAGTAAAATTAAAAAAGACCCACAATGGGCATTAGAAAAGGGATATGATGGAATAACATTTGAATCTCTTCATATATCATTTATGAAATCGATACTCGGTGTTAACAGAAAGGCCAGTAATGACGCTACACGAGGCGATTTAGGTAGGTTTCCACTATTTATTTCTTTGTTTTATCAACAAATGAAATATCTTAATCATATTAACAATAAAGGAACCGACTCGCTTCTACGTGAAGCCCTTGAGGTAAATAAACAACTGACAGATATGAATAAACAATCATGGCTCACGCACATCAATGATGTACTTAAATATATTTACAATGGTACTTCACCAAACTATTTAAACTTAAAACCAAGAGAAATTAAGAAATTACTGGAAAATAGATACATACAATTTTGGGAAACTAAAATAAAATCAAATAATGGTAAATTGAGGTTTTATAAGATAATAAAAGCAAAATGGAACAAGGAACCCTACTTGGATTTAATCAAAAATGAAATAGACAGAAATAACTTGACAAAGCTAAGAATTAGCGCACATAAATTAGAAATCGAAACAGGTCGTTACACAAAACCAATAACCCCTATTGAAGAAAGAAAATGTTTAATGTGTAACAAGAAAACCGGTTCAGAATGTCATTACCTATTAGAATGCAATAAGTTAAAAGATGTTCGGTCAAGTTACATGGATAAAATAAAAAAACACTGTCAAAATTTAGAAAACATGAATAACGTGGAACATAAATTAATGTTTCTATTTAATTCAGAGGGAATAATATTAAATATACTAGCAAAATATATATCTAATATTTTTATCGAGAGAGAAAAAAACACGAAATGCATCCAATAAAATCTTGCAATGATCAAGCACCCTTTGATTAGTTAATATACTATATAGATAATTAGTTAAGCTTTTTTCATTTTTTTTCTGTTTAAGCTGTACACTTTGCCCAAATGTGGGATACAAGTATAATAAAGCTCATAATAATAATATATTGACCTGATAGCTCAGAAAAAGTAAAAACTTTGAATTTTCTTTCTACAAACCGTGTTGCCCCTTTAAGAAGAGGTTTATTGCAGATATAGGAACAAGTGTGCACGCTTCCGTTCAGGAGATTTCAACAAAGATACATGGATACACTTGTGTCATAGAAAACGGGAATCAATTGATAATTTAAGCTCTGACACTAATCCCGGGGGCCTTTAATGGGGAACTCATTTATGGTTCGAGTCAATAGACTCCTACGTAATAGTTCAGAAAACACACTTTTAGGCATTACTTGATAATAGAGATCGATATCACAGCACCAAAGCATCGTATGACAGATTGGTTTAATAGATTCAATGTTTCTGCCAGACCATTGACAAACCAAACTGGCGTAGTTGCTTTGCTGTATAACTTTGAAATTTCGTCAAGTCTCGTTTTAATGTGATTTATAAAATATACAGGGTGGGCAAAAAAAACAATACACACGTTTAATGATGAATATTATATCATATAACGTTAAACCATACCTTGTATATCATTTTAGGATAAATCATTTCCCAACAATATGACACCATCTGATTGAAAACCGTTGTTTTTTGTGGAGTAGAGGCTAAAGTTGAGACCAGGGGTGTCATGAGTGACCAAAAAGCATTCACTGCGGATTTCCAAATTGTAGAAAATGGAGGGAAATTTGAACGTTGGCACCTTCAAAAGAGGTACATTGTGTATTACTCTTAAATAAATTTATGATGATTTAGTCAGTCATATTGAGTGCAGCTGTGACTGCAATATTTGCGGTAAAATTTGGGAATTTACATTTTTTTATTTTGGTTGGCACTCCACGAGAAAACAAAAGTCTTTCGATTGGATGGTGTCATATTGTTAGGAGATGATTTATCCTTAAAATGATTATAATACATTGCATGGTGTAACATATATCATATGGATCATTCATCTTTAAACTTGGGTATTGGTTTTTTGGCCCACCCTGTATATATATTGAGAATTTCTTTTACGAAGGTATAATCTTGTGTAATTCTATAATCGATTGCCGTCTGTAACTCTCAAGACGTTAACCAAATTAAACTGGTACCGTCATTATATTGTTTCATATATCAAGTGTGAAGATTCGAATTCCCATGATGCAACGTATAGCCAGTAATCAATTAAAACATAGCATATTGATTGAGAGTAAGACCGCTGTTTTAATATTCATTCTCTTAAATTCGATACGAAATGTACAAAGTAAATACTTTCTAATATTTTTCATCCTGATACTCAAACCATATATGTCTTAAAAAGAATGATTCTCGAAGAAAACTGATAGAAGGTCATTATTCCCAAGATGAATATTCAGCCATACACCTGTTACGATCGTTGGGCACATCCGTCTTGGTAGCTGTATTGTTCCGAGCCAGATACTTGACTTGAAAGAGAGTGTGTTAAATTCAATAACCCATACGAACCCAGGACATTCCGCTCTCGAGTCAGACGCTCTACCACGAGCAATAGGGGCTAGCCCCATACAGCTAAGATTATACTAGCGACTTACTATATATCTATCGAGAGCATAACACATCACATGAAGGAAATAGGTCGACCGAAAGATGGCAGTACTGGTACCCGTCATGAAGATATCTCTAGTCAGAACACATCTATTATTATGTCGACCTATTGTCTTTGTTACTAGCTGTACCTCGATGTTTTAAGTTTGAAAAGACAAATAGTTTCTCATGAATAAGATTCAATTTCGTTTAACTTTGCGCACGTAAAGTAAAGTGAAGTAGAATTAATATTTATGATCTACGGCAGCCGTACGGCGGCCGTAAAATTGAGAGAAATATGCAGGCATAGAATATAGGGATAAGCAGAAGCAGATTTTCTATACAGTGTCGGCCGCCGTTCGCCCACCGTAAAGCATTTAATTGAGGCTTTAGTCAATACAATTATTTCAAACTATGAATCAAAATATGGCAATCAAGTTACCCTTGTACAAGAACTTCCAACGTCCAACTTTTTGTTTCATTCTATTTTAACAAGATATTAAGAAGAAACGGTTGGAAAAATACTAACGCATAGTCACCGATCCAATTCAAATTATTTTGTTCTAAAAAGCGGATAAGAATACGAATGACAATATCTATAAGAATTGTTTTTATTCTTTGTATTTACTGTTCGACCAATAAACGTACGAGTATATACGGCTGAATACATTTTCCATTATCATTATTAGTGCAAAAAATGACATAGAGATTTCTCGAAGCATGAAATAATTGTATCATTTGAATTTACATTATTTGAATGCCTTTTCAAATAATATTTTGCAACTGCATTTCCAAGTGGTCCTTACTCTTTACATAATGTATTGTGGTGCAAACCTAGATATGCTTCACCGGCGTACTTTTATTCATTCTGCCAAAATGTAAATGCACAATCTTATACTTTTTTCTGAATGTCACATAACGAAACGAATTACTAAGACAATAGGATACTATTCAATAAAATATATATTTTGTTCCGGAAGCGTGCTCATAAGAAGCGGAAACAGTTATTAGTATTATATTTATTCACGTGGGAAATTTCCGGATCATTAAGTCTAGCCTTGGACAATGAACCGTTGAATAAAGTGCATCTTTAATATTTTTATTACAGGAAATCGAACGTCAAAACGGGATTTCGATTATGAGTTAAATCGTAAAATCCTTATACTTTCTTCATAGTCACGTGTTATGTTTAATTTAATGAAGATAGAAAAAGCAATGCAAAAACTAAACTAACGTAAAAAAACAAACGTAACTATACTCATTTTAGTGAGAATGATTGTTCTTGTCTTTTCAGGAGATGGAACTGAAGGGGGTTAAAGCAGTGCAGCACATGAAGCGAGTTTAAGTCTAAGCTACATTAACGATAAGCGTCGCTCGAATAGAATCGTATGTTTGAATAAACGATGAACGTACTTGTGAATGATGTTTGAACGAACGATGAACGTACTTGTGAATGAAAACCCTTTGAATGATGGCAAAACTGCCCTAATTCACGTCACCATACTAGTCAATGGGCAAAAGGGCAAACGCCTGACTTTTTATCTCGAGTTATGGATTTATGTGGCCTCACTGGCCTATCTGAGGTTCTAAAGCTATGTCTAAGCTACATCTTGACACTAAACTCAATAGGGGCCAATCATCTACTTTTTGAAATAATTGGTCAATTGTGACACTACCCCCTCTCTCTGCAGACACAAATTGAAATTCACAAAAATGAAGGCAAAATTAATACGCCACTTGACTCGAAATTTTCCTTCAGATAACCCAAATAAACGCATTTTCAGAAGAAATGGCATGTTGCCATTGCAAAAAGATTACAACTGTGCCTACATACTAGCTTACTGACTCGTCATGATCACAATTGTGTTGGGACTACATTTATTTTTGAATACTACTTTTTTCTATTCAGCGGAAGTGACGTATTAGGGCATTTTGGCCTAATAGCCACATGGTTGGATGATTTCTGGCTTTAAATTGCGTTTTTCCAATTAACTAGAGTTTTTCAAGTAGTTTTGTGCAGTTTAAGAGTATTCTGACAGCAATTATGAAAAATATGGCTACTTCATTACCCCTGGGGTCATTTTTCCAAGAACCCAATGGTTTTCCTTTAAATTTGACTAGTTTTTCATTTACATCATGAAATCCACTGCCTGATGGTGACATTTTTCAGTATCGTGTCAAGAAATTGAGTATTTTATTGCATATTGCGATTTTTAGCCAAAATCACTGAACCGTGAACCAGAAAATTGGACAAATTTGGCCCACTTTTTGGCAAAATCTTACTAAAATCATCACTTTTTCATATTTTATTCCATTCAACAACCTCCTGATTTGAAAAATGATGACAAATTTGATTAGTTTTGACTCTGGCCTAGAGAATTGGGACTTTTGAGATATTTTTTAGCTCGAATGTAGTCATTCAGAGTGAACAAATACATCAAAAATTGACACTTAACTCACCAATTTCTGACTGCATCCCCGATATGTACCTTCTTTCTATACTGGAAACCATAAGATGGAAAATTCAATCTTTATGATGAATAGCAACTCGTTGGCTTCCCCATTTACGACAACAAATGACATTTAGGGGTCACTAAGGACAAAATTGTAGCCAAATATCGTCAAAATCAGTGGTTTTTGGGGTAAAAAGCGAAAACTGCTGATTCAGCAAAAACATTAAATTTGTTCATGAAAATTCCCCTTTTTGCCTCCGTCCAAAATATGTTTCACACTAATAAACTTCAATTCTGGGGGATTCTGAGTAGTTTTAAAAAATTTTGGTCACTTTCACATGTGACTAATAGGCAAAACTGCCCTAATTCACGTCACCATACTAGTCAATGGGCAAAAGGGCAAACGCCTGACTTTTTATCTCGAGTTATGGATTTATGTGGCCTCACTGGCCTATCTGAGGTTCTAAAGCTATGTCTAAGCTACATCTTGACACTAAACTCAATAGGGGCCAATCATCTACTTTTTGAAATAATTGGTCAATTGTGACACTACCCCCTCTCTCTGCAGACACAAATTGAAATTCACAAAAATGAAGGCAAAATTAATACGCCACTTGACTCGAAATTTTCCTTCAGATAACCCAAATAAACGCATTTTCAGAAGAAATGGCATGTTGCCATTGCAAAAAGATTACAACTGTGCCTACATACTAGCTTACTGACTCGTCATGATCACAATTGTGTTGGGACTACATTTATTTTTGAATACTACTTTTTTCTATTCAGCGGAAGTGACGTATTAGGGCATTTTGGCCGATATTCTATATTTCTTTTTCATTTTGCCATAGCACAGACCTTGTGATTGCATCAGAAACCCGAACGTGAAACGCATTCGTAGCACCTTGTAACAGTAAAATCCAAATTATAACCTGTACGTGAAACACAGTGAGCTAAATTTGAATTGCGTATCTGTTATATTATTGAATTTGGTTTGATTGGTGGATAATTGATGTGTGTAGAGCATCACAGATAGGCTTTTACATGAGAAATCAATACAACTAACTCGGGGATTTCTGGGGAATATCTGAATAGTCTAAACGCTGCATAGTGTGTGACTGATCTCTCCGAAAACAGGTCCATGTTTATGATGTGGCTATTCTTTGTCTTAAAACTTGGTTGGATATATTTCACCCTGGCAATTAACTGCAATTATGTATATCTGAGGCATCTGAGGAAGGAGACAGTTTTGTAACAAAGTACGCGAAAGCGGAAAATGTACAGGGTTCATGTTCAACGTGCTTTTCAAGGTCTATCGGTAGTCCATGGCGTGTGAATAGTGTAAAAATACAAAAATCTAGTCAAACTACACAACGCCAAATTGTACGCCCATAATCTCACAAAACCTTATATGATTATCCCTTTATAGCTTTCAAACAAATTCTGTAATGTTAATATGATATAAATAAGCACATTCAAATTATATCATATCAATCATTAATGATAATACGGTCTTCGACTTTGCAGACTGCCTTAACTGATAATTGGAATTAAAAACCCACAACGATCAATTAATTTCTAAGAGAGTGTACACTGTACCATGAATACCACGTATTTATTGTATCATATTGTACTGTATTGTATTGTATTGCATTGTGATTGTGCGATGGAAAGACAGCGCATCTTGTTGGATCGATCACGGTTTATTTCAATACCTTATTATTCAAACCTAGTGACAGGTATATATCATATAAGTATTTTGACGCATACTAAGAGGCATTTATTATACTACTATTAGAGAGTGTCAACATTAAGATGCGGATGTAATAAATTCTTAATATAGAATTATGAACTAAATATAGTTCCCACTTGTCTATATTTATCCCTGGCATGCTATTTTTAGGCATACTCTTGAATATTAGTTCGCGCTATTGTTTCAAAGCCAAAAATACTCTGTTAATGAATAAACACAAACAAATACTTACTTTTAAAAACAATAGTTGGCTATATTTTGATGAGACTCTTGAAGCTGTACATGTTGTATAATAATAAGAAAGTGTTTTTAAGTTTTTATGAGCATTATCATTTGTCATTTTAAGCGCGTTCTGTGGTGTACCACATTCTATGTTTTATTGCTCATGTCTCTTTGTGTGTGGATGTATAATAAATTATATCTACTTAACTATCTTCATTGTATTGTTAGTTATGTAAATTATGACATATACGAATATGATTGTTCTGTTTATTCCCGAATTGAATATGAGAAAAAACAAAATTCCCGTCCCGACAAACTCGACAGTCAACATTGAATATTGACATCTTTGACTTAACCTGAAATTTCTTAACAGAAATCAAGTATATGATTTTCGTTTTGGCAAAATATCGAAGAAACCGTCAAGTGATTATTCCATTTGTCCCGTAGAGTAATTACAACAGCGTAAATAATGCAGTCTAAGAAAATCTAAAAAACTGTCTACATTTGTCGTCTGGCCCTCCATTCACTGTATGTGAAAAATAGTGGTTTAGAATAACTTATTTCAAGTTGCTAAGATATAAGAACCAACATTTTTTTTTAAAGCAACCTATGTCCTGTTTAAGAACTAGCTGAAAACATTATTTTCTCAGAAGAACTCAAGTTGATCGAGTCTCAACAAGTACATTCATGTGGGATAGTATTGTTATAATCCATTTTAAATACTAGGAATATGGGTTCTTAAACAGGACATTAAAGCTCAACGAAGGCCTTTTTGAAATTTTGGGTTAGTACTATAACGAATAAAAGTAAAAGTTTCAATGTATAAGCATTTAAATGTAAATTATAGATTTTGCCAATGATGTAGGTAAAATATATACTCTGATATTGTGATTAAGGCCATTGAAGAGGATTCCCTATCAACCCGGATGATATTTAGATCTCGCGCATAAACATTAGCCGGCCACTTAAGTTGAATCATAGATTATCAAACTTTCAAGAATAATTAAACACTAAAGTTGTCACCGATCGGTATTTTCTCACCTGAATTGTTACTTATCGAAGTATAATAAATTAATTGAAACTAAGAGCGATTTTGAAGATAATTCCCCTATATCGGGGTAATCTCAAAATTTCAAATTTGTATCGGTAAAACTATAGAAATCTAGCTGAACTTAATATGAACTTTTGGTTTAATTTTGACATGGCCAGCAGAATCATCCGTGAGAAAAATGTGAAAACTTTCGAATCATCTTCTTACGTCATCATTATCTAAATATGATTTTCATGCAGTAAATTCTGATTTATTTCTGATATTGGAATCGTACTGATCACATCATCTTTATCAGTCTTCATTTCAAATGGACTAGGAAGGAAAACGGCGTCCAGAAACATCAGAACAACTCTGTATAGACCTCAACAAAGCATTTGATAGTGATACCAGGTAAACAATTTGTTTTATTATTGATTAAGATATTTTAAATGTTTTTGTTTTTATTGTTGCATTTCATCTAAAATTATATGATGAGGATTAACAGTTACCAAATGACGACATAATAAGTGGGAATGCCTACTGTATTCTAGAATTGAATTTTATAATTATGTATCGTATTTTCAATTGTGATTTAGAAGTACTGCGAAATTGCAAACATATATAACTTTGAATGTAGTGATTTTCAGTATTCGGTTTATTAAAGCTAATTTATATCCAAAGAACATGTGTAAGCTTCTATAGAATTTATAAAATAAATCAAAAATATTTTACAAACTGTTTTTTTTACATGAGGAGACGGCTATACACTGCGATCATTATTTAAGTTATGAAATGTATAATATATAACTTTATTTAACTTTTTGAGAAGGACCCCTGGATCATAATTATGAATCATTTATAGTATCGAAAATCAATCAATAGTGAATTATAAGCTTGTTTACTATATTATCCTTCTATTGTTTGATTTGAAAAATAATTGGGATAAAATAAAAATAAATGTAAAATTCAACTAAAAACCGTTTGAATTTAGTATTCTATTTCTTATGATTATAATATTTCGGTCAATTTTTGGAATTCACCATTGCAGATGATGTTCTGATCGAATAACTATTCTGTTGCTGTGATATTTGCATAAGAAGAGTGCTACTTCAGAATGAGTACGGACTCTATTATGTGGCAAATAAATAACTCAACTCGCATAAAATGTCGTATTTTTGAGATGATTTCAACGGCAATCCGAATTCAAATATAATTTTTACAATTTCACAGTTGTGTCTTTGCCATTGATGACTACCAAATTGTCATCATTATCGATTTTGTTATTAATATCTACTCAATTTCGTATTTACATTACACTACCGTTTTAATTCATACACGAGCAAGAAATTTGGAATATTTTTGATTGGTCTTGAAATTCTGTATAAATATCACACAAATAAATTGATAACATCATAAGGAGAAACACATCAATAATCACAAATACGCATCAACAACAAGCGTATTCATAAACTGAATTACAAAAGGAACGATATGAAACGTTGATCTGAAGACGGGAATCTCAATTTTAAATTATTTAATTTTTATTTCACAAATATGGAACACCCAGATGTAAGTTTTATATCATTATGTACTATTTTGTTTCAGAAACACAATTAACATAAAACAATAAAAGTGTGAGCATTCATAGAAATAAAAGTGTCATAAACTCGAACACTTTCGATGATTTAATTAACCACGTATATTGTGTTCTATGACTGCCCGATAACATAAGGGAAGTGGCAGTTTAAAAAAGTAATGTAATTAGATATATATGTCTCAATTTTTAGATTGTACCAAGACGGAAAAGTTTGGCTTCTGGGCTTTCCCTACAGCTGAACGTAGCAAGCTTCGACGTGAAAAACGAATTTCAAGATAAAACCACAAACATAGTCAATAGAACCAAGATAAGAACAAATAACACGATGCCTTCTGAAAAACCTATAGAACTGGCCCAAATTATCAAAAGAGATTCGCAAGACAGCGCTATCGAAAATAACATCCCGGACGTTGTTAGTAAAATGTTCGGTCGCCTGCCGGGTGTGGACGACATGAAAGCAGAAAAAGAAGGCTTCCACAATTTAGACGACGAAGCAGAGCTGAAACGAATAAAACGTAGAGTCTATAAAAACATTTTTGTGGTATGCCTTGGGTATTTCTGTCTGTTTTCTGGAATTGGATCTTTGGCGGTGCTGCAGTCCTCGTTAAATGCAGAGGGAGGTCTCGGGGTAATATCACTTACGCTCAACTTTGGGATAAGCATCCTTACCTCGCTGTTCCTGCCCTCCATGATGATCAACAAACTGGGTTGTAAGATAACAATGATCATTGCTATATGCTGCTGCTTGGTCTGGATGACTGCTAATTTGTATGCCACGTGGGCGACAATGTTGTCAGCTAGCGCATTACTTGGTATGTTTTTGTTAGAAAGAGATTCTGTGTATGCGGTTATTTTGCCTAATCATGTAAGCCAAATGTTTGCCAGGTTCGTCAAAATGTCGGAGATATTATCTTGATAATGTTATCCAATGGGAAAATTCTTGTCACTAGGAAGATAGAAATTAGGAAAATGATAGAATTTGACAATTCGGCAAATTAACCATACAATTAAACATACACTTATACCGTAACCCGTTATTCATTATTAAGAACAAAGATATCTTAAAATAATTAACCTTATATGAGGAACCACGCTGTTTGATCCGTCCGAAATAAGATCATAAGTCAAAAAAAAATAGCAGGGACTAAAAGCAAGTTTTGGGCTGGACTTATAAAAAATGTGTCCACCGTTTTTTAACCAGCAACGCTGATTTTGCAACCCATGCTGCCCATCACATAATTTACACTGCTGTTAGTTGTCTTGATCTTTATTGATTTATATTGTTTGTTTTTTCCCAAGGACTCATCTGGGCTCCATTATGGACTAGCCAATGTTCTTATTTCACCACACTTGGCGTGGAACTCGCTGAAGCGACCGGGGTGTCAACAGACGATGTCATGTCAAAGTTTTTCGGAATATTCTTCGGATTCATGTTGATAGGTGAGTGGCTTATCACGAATGTTTATGACTTGCTTACTGAAGTAAAACAGGTTTAAAAGTTTGAAAAAGTCTGGACTGGATGATTAAAAATGAAAAGACAGTATATGTGTGTATATCTGGTAGTACTTACTCAGTATAGCATTGCATCGTTAACTGGATGTTAATTGCAAATCTAGAAAATTGTATATGTAGGTCCACTTTGGGGAAACGTAGTATCCTCAGCTGTATTAGACGATGGAAACGGGGACGACAACTACACGCTAAGCGATGCGGAACTCGCAAAATGCGGCGCTTATTTCTGCCCGCAAGAGGCCGCTGCGGATGCTAACAATACAAATCTGGCCCGGCCTGAACAATCCAAGGTAAACAAATCATTGCAAACGTGTGCTTTTGCATTAAATAGATTGTAATCTGAATATTTTGCTAAAACGCTTTCATTTTCGACGAATATGGCAATATAAATTGATATGAATCTACTGAAAAGAAAAAGATTAGTATCTCGTTTCTAAACAATCCATTTTGTAAATCCATGTTCTATTTTCCCACCTGTATATATTGTCTACTGTAGATGCACGTAATTGTAAAAGAACGGATGATATCTACATTAAAAACAGAAAAATTACAATTAATGAGGTCAATATCAATTTGGTTATTCATTCATTTTCACTGTTCAATCTATTGTACTCCTTCAACATAGATTAATTAACATAAGGAGCATACAAGTCTCGATCTCGCAACCTCGTAGTTACGGCAGTTACACGCTTTGCTCAAGCCCTCTCGGCCAACTACTCCTGCATTATCGTAAAATGCATGTTATAAACACTGGTGAATAATAAATTAAGCATGTTACTATGGTTGTTGTCAGGTTTTCACGTTGGTTGGAATACAGATGGGGTGTGCGGCATTGGGCTTGTTAGTCATCATATTCTTCATGGATAGATTACCACGTCCTGATGGCGTCAGAGGTAGGCCGACAATTATTATAATACCTTAAACTTGGCTCAGTTTAAGACTATATTTTTATATGCCCGTGGTGCTAATGAATTGCGTAATATTTTAATGAGTCGCCCCACTTTTTCATGATACCTATGGGGAAAACTTAATATTATGCAATATACTTGCGCCGCGGGAAGTTCAAAAACGCAGTCCAAGTCTGTTTTTTATCAGAAATGAACTACTTCACCTCCATTTTCGGAAGAAATACATTTTTCTTACTTTTGGTTTTCTTTGATGATATACACAGAGCTCTTTTGCTTCTTTATTTTTTGCAAATTTATTTTCATAAAAAGTGGATTGCATGCCATTTAGAGTGTCTACTTGAGATTGCATCTGTATACCTGTATTGTATTTAACGAAATTCATTTGTACTATACAATATTGTTTACAGACTGGTTTGATAAACAATCTGCACTGGCAGCCTTAAAGCAGATGAAGAACAAGAAACAACTGTTGATTATCCCTTTGAATATTTACATAGGATTGGAACAATCATTCATGAATGCAGAGTTCACTCAGGTTAGTTAAAACCGGCCATGGTACAGCATAAAGATCCCTTAAGTCACTATGTGATAAGCAGGCTTCCAAGAGGGAAAGCCCGGGGAGGGAAAGCCGGTGGTTAAATCCAGCTAATGATTGATGTTTTCATCAATTATAGGCTGTATATAAGATATGAAATAAACGTTTGAAGTATTCTTATGAATTGCTAGTCATAAACAATCTTGGACAACATGGGGTTCTGTGTTGCGGAACCTCGGAGAGTTGTGCATTCAAACCCCGTGCGTTAAAACAGTTTTTCAAGATCTGTTGTTTGAACCACTGACGACACGATATCGTAAACCTACTTTTTGGCCCGAGTGCCATCTTTATATTGTAAGATAACGTGAAAATATACTTTGGTCATGAACAGAAACGAATGTTTCTATTAATGACCCCTGGGTATCAACTAATGCATGCTGCATCTAAAAATCTTCTTTTTATATACACTTTTAGTCGTTCGTGACGTGCCCTCTTGGTATAAAGTATGTTGGTTACGTAATCATATGTTACGCCCTCGCTGGAGCAGTGGTTTCCCTGATAGCAGGTGTCATGGCAAATCTTGTGGGACGGGGAACAATCTTCATCTTTGGTAAGATTGTGTTTATTTCTCTCAGCCTTATATTCTTCTTTATGTGTACTTTTTCTTTTTGCGTCGATTATAAATGCTTGGCTACATGTTTTGCAGTGCGTTTTAGTTTTGTTACACATTTTACACAGTTCAAGGATAAATTGTTGTAACTGCTTTTTATAGGATAGGTTGTTATGAAAGCGTTATTTTGTGTCAATTGATTTTTTATTTGATTTCTAATCGATGATATAATTGATTCATTTTAATTTGTTTTTGATTCAGTCATTTGCATACAACAAAATAAAGTCACGTGAAGGTTAATAACTTTTATGTCTCTTCCTTTACAGCTGGTATTGTCCATATGACCCTGTTGGTAATGATGTGCATTTGGAGACCCCACCCTGACGAAATGTTTGCATTCTTCCTAATGCCTGCGTTATGGGGTGTAGGAGACGCTATATGGCAGAGTCAAATCAATGGTAATGACTATTGTCGTCTGCAAATGCAGTTTTCTTGCTCGTTAATAAACGCTTCATCCCATAAACACAGCTATCTAAACTATATTGGAGGATCACACCATACAATGCCTTTCAAAAACTACCTCATCATATTTTCAGTCAGTAGTTAAGTACAGGTGGATTTCTTATTTTCATTGCTCATCTTAATATTTATTTTCTAGCATTCTATGGCTCGTTGTTTGCTACCAACCCTGACGCTGCTTTCGCGAACTACCGGCTTTGGGAATCCACTGGATTTCTCATAGGATACGCCTACAGCAGTCTTATATGCACTGGCTACAAACTGCTCGTCCTTATGGGATTCTTAGCGATAGGTAAGTATTCAATGCGCATGCGCATGATAATGCGCAGGCCAGTAGCCAGGATTTGCCAAGGGGGATTCAGTTTTCAAAAGTTTCCAGGAGGGGGGGGGGGGGTTCGCATTTGACAATTTTGGCCCAAATATGGCTAAAACCAGTTGAGAAGTGCTCAAAATGGTGAAAACCTGCATGATTTTGAAATAATATTTTGCCAGAGGGGGGGTCCACCTGGCTACGGGCCTGCGTGTGTCATACGTTTAGCGAACCATGTTACTTGTAAAGCTGAAAGCGTTTGTTTAATCTCTCTGACGATAGTGACATGAATCCATATTTTGAAATTAAACAAAAGTGTTGCATATTCCAGGTATGTTATGTTACATCGTTGAGGAGAAAGTATTGGACAATGAAGCAAAGGCCCTAGCAGAAAAACAGAAAGTCATCGAAGAGGAAGAGAGAGATAAAAAGATCCACAACCAAATTGTCTCGACACTTTCCGCCATCCCGCCTAAATCTACGGAGACTCCCGAGAGTCCCGAGCTAGCAGTAGTGTACACCAGAGACATCGATGTTACTTGTTAATTTAACTAATCTAAGTGGCCCTAATGTACATTACCGAGAGCCTATTTAGACTTGTATTGATACTTTGCTTCGTAAAAAGTTTGACAACCAGAAAGTCCTATTTTTACATTAAAGCATATTATGGCAAGCCATATTAAAAAAGTCGTTAAACTAAATAATTCTTAAACCTTTGTAAATGAGAAACAAAATGAAAATGCAAGTCTTTATATCAAATTTCAAATGGGGTTCTCCGATTGCCAAATAGAGGGCGGTATATAAAGAATGGACTACTTTTATCAATGACCCCATTCGATATATTTGGTGAAAGAAGCATCATAACAACGGTGAAGAAGAACAACTAATCAGCTTTCCAATGTCTTATGTTTAGAAATCAAATATATTTTCGAAAGAGAAAGGGAGTTTATTTGTGTCTTCATTGGAATTGAAGCAACTATGTTACTGATTGTGCTACAAATAATTAATTTATGTAACAGCCATGTTACAGATTATGCTGAAATGTTGATAAAATGATAAAATATGGATAAAATGCTAAAATGTTGTTAAAATACTAAAAATGCAAAAATTTAGATAAAATTCTAAAATTCTGATCAAATACATTTACAGGCTGTTGTTTATCGAAACTAATTAATAGAAGACATATGAGACGTACCGTACATAGTGTATGACGTTTTTGGAAATAACACGTCTAATAGCTCCGTGAAGCTAAATATATTTTAACAAATATTTTTATGTTTTTTAATGCTGTAATATATTTGATTTAAATGATATATCATTCTGTCGCACTGATACTCTTCATGTGCCACTGTTGTAAATAGTGGGAGCAAAATAAATAACTAAAAAGAATAAATAATTAACAATCATAGATATGTCATAAGGTGTTAAATTTGTACATATTACTAACATTTATTTAAAAATAAAACAACGTATATTGTATGAAATACAACTGACATATTATGTTATTTTTTTACTCAGTTATATACTTTTGTAAGTTCCCAAAAACTGTACTCAAATGAAACTAGGATAACTCTTTTTCCCTTCTTTAAAAATTCTGAATTTTTTACATGATGAAGACGAGCCATTTCACCCCCTGGTATGAGTGTCCTGTTACTGGTTAAAGGTCAAATCTTAAGAAACTGGAATATAAAAGAATTGCCCCAGATTTCAACTAAACTGAACACATGGGCTCAGTTCTGAAAAACAGGGCATAGGAGTTGATGGAAATGGAGCCTCTTGAAAAAGATACAGTAAGGATGTAATCCTGAAGAAAGTAAGGAAATTGCTAAAAGGATTGTGCAATGCTACACCTTTATCTGAATTTTCATTTCACAGATAAGCTGTTGTTCGAGCAGCAACTGGTGGTCATACCAACAACTAAGAATCAGCTGTAAATCTGTAAAATTACATGATAAAAAGCTGATATTTCTCAGGTAACTCCAGAATTATTTGTCTTTAAAATGAGATATGACACAGACAATCAATGATGTCCTTTTGTTATTGCTCATATAATATCTCACATACCATGGATATCTTGAGAATAACTTCGGTATATTCTTGCTGAAATGTTGAAATAATCAACAGAACAACCAACCTCCAGAATTAAACACAATTCCTCGGCTATCGAGGGGAATCCCCATTGAGTCACACAAGCGCCCACAAGTGCTTTGAACCACGGAGCCTCTTTAACTTCTCATCCATTACACCTCGAGTCCTTATGCAAAAAGCAACGTTAGTATTTACGCACATTACCAAGCAAAATGAAGAGAACATTTAAATATACACCAGGCATCGGGAAACAGCCCCCAACTATCCCAAACCCTAATCCAATTCGAAAAGAAACAATGTCTCATACTCCCTTCCCCACCAATCACGTTCCATTATCACAATCCAGGGCAAAAATCCAAGGGACATTTCATTCACACAGAAATTGTAATTCAAATAAAATGAAATGAAATAGAGATATACAATAAATGGAATTACAACAAACAAATAAATTGCATAAAATATCTGACAGTCATTAATGTTTGAATTGTTTTTTAATCTAACATCAACGAAATTATTCAAAAATATAAATAAAATGGAATATCTTAAATGGAACCATAATATATAATGTTGGATGACACACATATAAAAGATCTTTCCGATAAATCCTGCGTCCTTTAACAAGGCCTGTAGAGAGAGAATATGAACATTTCAACGTTTCCTGAGCTATCAAGGCAACATTTGGCATACCTATTTTCTTAAAATATATGGATAAACTATCAATTTCAGCATTAAGAAGTGTAAAAGTTCACAGCTTGAGTATTTCGTACTATATTGATTTATTTTTAACAAAAGTATGATATTTGACTCGATCAACATTCATTCAAAGCCCATTTCAAGTCTTAGATCTTACTGCCATGTTTTAGATAGCGGGTAAGCGTCCATCACCGACTACGGACATGCACGGTTGTGGAGCTTTAATGAATTAGGCATCAGATCACAAAAGGTCAATTCAAGAACAAACATTTAATTAGCCTAGGATTATAATTAGCCAAAGGCACCAAATAACCTTTGAATCAAGGTCTTGTAGAAGATAACATTTTCAAATTGACGATACAATGTAAGGTTATTCTAATCAAGTTTAAGAATTGTTATACGTTAGAATTATACGTCCATGCCTGGATTAACTATATTTTAATGTTTTCAATGAAACCTTCCCACAGTTAACTTTCTATTTTACAACTCTTTATTGCACAAAATTATGAATTCCAGAAGGAGTAACACTTGACATCTCTACAACTATAGTCCCATAAATTTGTTTTTAATTCATGACTTATTAATGCATACAATTTCCCTCTCGTCTTCCAAGAATTGTTTGATTTAAGATTCTTAATCATCATTTGTTCATGACACATGTCCCATTCGTTTCAGTTTCAGGAATCTAGTAAAATGTTATTAGAGATGCGTATATTCCACTTTATTTAATACAAGGGAATATTATCTAAAAGGATACCCGGTCCAAAATAAAATTCCAGTTATATAAAATATGTAATTACCTGTTATACGATATGTAAGTTGACATAAGGTTACATAACAGGGATGAAATATACGCCTTTTATTGTTTGACAATAGCAAAATCAAAAGCTTCGGAGAAATCTATAAGGACAAGTAAAAACTAATAATTTGCAAAATGTCATTCTTAACCTAGGCGGAATTCATAATCGGAATGTATGAGTTTTTCTCGTCCAATATTTCAATTATCTTATCTTATTTACTTGTACAATCATTATCTCCTAACAAGAATTGAATCCTCAAATGTAAAGATAATGCAGAAATAACTCAGATAGAGAAGGTTCATCACAAGGTATATGTTTCAAATTAACAAATTACACTTCGTGAACACACGCAATACATGTATTAGATGAAAGTCGAGGGCAAAATATTGAGGACTCATCATAAGATACTTGGTGAACTTTCCATTGTTCAAGTTTAATTAAAATGAATGATTTTGTCTTATGATTCTAAGTTGTTAACCGTAGTTGTATACTTCATTTAGATAATTCAAACAAAATTATAACATCGTTGAAAATAAGTTATCATTAAATTGCTTGTGTGATACAAACAACATTAAGGTTCATATAATACACCGACATTTAAGGTATGTAGTTGATTTATTGTTATTAGTATTTGACCACAATATTCTTAAATTTATATTGCTTGGAAAAATTATTGAATTTTTTATTTGAGATGATCATTGATTAACTGTTCCATTAAATGGGTAACGTTTTAATACCTTTTCGGGGTTTTCCATTTTAGTAATGTGTTGATACACTTGGAACACATTGTTTGTTTTAACAGTAAACGACAATGAATTATATATATTTTTAATTATCGAAAGAAAAAAATATATAGACTATAGTGTTATAGTATCAAAAACACTTCTTCAAATGCTTCTTAATTCCAAATTATGCATACAATATACAAATTGAAAATTCAAATTGTTTTCTGTTATATGGGCGGATTGCTGAATTTAAACCTTAATGTGGTTAACGTATTTTTATTTATAACACTAATGGATAGAGGAGGGGGTCAGATAATATACCTTGTGTTTCCAAAGTCGAGAGGGGTCCAGTAAAAACTAAGGTACTATTAATTAAAGTTCATTCAAAGCTCTCGAGGAAGATTTATTAAAATGTAAAAAAGTAGGTCAAATTAGGTTAAAAGTAGGTCAAAGTAACATAGGGGGGGGAGGCTTTCTCATGTATTTTTTACTTTTTCAACAAAAAACAACATATGATATTTTGTAAGAAAATGGAAATAAATGTTTAGGACAGTGGTGCATCGCAATATGATAGTGAAAACATTGTATTTCAGTCAAAAAAGTCGAATTGCCTTGCAATATGGCTTGTTTGAAAGTGTATTCACCATACTATATGATATACAATATAACAAAGGAAAGTAAAGAGAACCAGCTTATATTTTTATATTTCGAAAACGAATTGCGTGATTCTGAAATAAAAACCCAAGTTCCCACCATCCCAGCTCAGCCACTATACCCCCGATCACCTCGAATTTTACACCAAACGTCGTCTTTTACCTGGAGCTATAGTTATTATGATTTACAAATTAATATGTTTTCATTACAGAAGAGTATCTGGGAAGAATCCGGAGGGATTGACACTATCAACATTAGGGGTACATGTTAACTTAAATATTTGAAATATATCAGACATTTTGTCCTGTGCATATTCACATCGTACTTTTCAAATTGAATTCAATACGTTTGCAGATTTAAGAATGCCTTCCTACGACGATGAAGACTTAAATGGTTATAAAGGAAGGAACATATACAAACCATCAGACGCCAAAGATGGCGTATCAATGGAGCGTCTTGCAATGATGAATAATGGCAATAATAATGAGAAGGAGTTGCCAAAAATCAAAACAAAGGCGGAAGAAGCGAAAGAGGATAAGCGCCACAACTTATCCAAAAGGCGGATCTTAAAAAATATTGTCCTGATTAGCTTAGGAATCCTCTTCCTGTTTGCTGGGATAGGCTCCCTGGCTATGCTTCAAAGTTCTCTCAATGAGGAACTCGGTGTAATCGGGCTGAGTGTTAACTTTGCCACCGTCATCATCTGCTGCATGTTCCTACCTCCAATGGTCATCAGTAAGATGGGATGTAAATGGACTATGGTGTTTTCTTTAATCGGATTTCTCATGTGGATGGCATCCAATATGTATCCAGTGTGGTGGGTCATTATTCCGTGCTCCTTTGTGATGGGTGTTTGTTGGGGACCCCTTTGGACAGCACAGTGTACCTACTTTACGGAAAGTGCTGGTATATATGCAGATATAACCGGGGAGGATGCTGATACTGTTATTGCCAAGTTCTTTGGGATCTTCTTCATGATGTTCCAATCAGGTAACAATAATATTGAAATTGTCAAATTATCGTTTCACGCAAGTTGATAAATAATGAAGTTATTTGATTTTTGTGAGTAAGATAGATGGCGCTGTTACTGTGGAATTTTTGGATAACGCAGGTTTGCCAAAAATGTCAAATTATTGTATCACTTTTTAGTAGTATTGTGAGACGGGAGTGAGTATTTTTACGGGCAAAATATTTGTTAGATTCAACTTCTTGAACGCCCCTGCCCTTCTCGATCACACATTTTGTTTAACTTAACTTGGCCTATTTCGATACTCAAATGAAATAATTATATAGAGATATATGTAATAAGTTGTTCCTTGAAAAACTTGGACAATGGTATTGTATTCAAAGAGTTAAATGTCTAATTGAAATCGATTGCCTTATGACAAATGGTCTTATCAATCAACTTCGTGTAGGAAGTGTTGACGATAACATGATTTGCCTTGTATTTGGTTAAATGTTATTCTTGGACATTCTATGCTTTGGTATGGATATCAATAGAATTCGTCCTGCCAAACACAGTATATTTCTAAAACGATAGTAAATATTCTTGCTAATATTTTCCAGCCTTTATAGAGCTAGCTAGAGAAAGCATGATTTTCATTGTTTGCTAGCTAAGTTTAGCTACAATATCACTGGTGATCCACTCGATTACGCTGGTTACCGAAGCGGTTCGTTTTGGTAACAAAATGTCGGGACGTTGAAGGTACGATTTTTCTTTTTTCCTTATTTCACACGTTGTAGGCAGAATTCCATCGACATTTTTTAACACAAACGTGCATCAGTATCATATGTGTAAGAAAATGTACATATTTGCGAGCAAATAGTTCAGAAGACAGAATCCTCGATTTAATTCATCACTTAAGTTACATAAACGGTTTTCGAAAAACTGTTAAGATCTGCACTTTTAACCCAAACCGTTTACGTAACTTAAGTGAGGTATTAAATCGTGTTGTCTTCTGAGCTATTTTTTCGCAAACATGTACATTTTCTAAAAGATATAATACTGATATAAGTTTGAGAGAAAAAACATCGTGGGGATTCTACAACGCGTGAGATACGGAAAAAAGAAAAATCGTACCTTCAACGTTCCGACATTTTGTTACCAAAACGAACCGTTTCGGTAACCAGCGTAATCGAGCGGATCACCAGTGAATATTATACAATGCGAGGTTCAATCCGACAGTTTTAGCGAAGTTGGATCTATTGGGAGGCTTTTTGATGATTTCTTCGGCTAATTTTCTTGACGGGTTTTGTATACTAAACGTTAACTTATACTCACGAATCATATAGCCCGAATGTTAAAAAAATTATTCACTAGTACTCATGTACAGTTATTATGTCTCATTTGAGTATGTTACTTCAGGTTGGTAAGTGTCATTTGCATAGACAGCTGCAACTGTTTTTTTTTTGTTTTTTTTATACATTATCAATTTATTTCATCATAATCATGTTTTACAAGAATGGCTTGCCAATCGCTTATAAAGCATTATAGGCTAAGCTAGAAAATACATAAATTTAATTACAAATGTAAATGCATGTAATATGGAAGAATAGCAGCAATTTGGATAAGAAATGGGAAATAGGACAGGCTGGGGTCATGTGTCATAGTCTCAGTGAGGATATAGTAGGCATAGTTAATACTTGCTTGGACTTGCAACTGTTCATTTAGATATCATCACAACTGGCTTTATCTTCCTCCTGGTATGACGTGTCAACGTTACAAACACAACCATATTGAAACGCTGGGCCATAACGTTTAAATGAATTATACACAACATCTGAAAGTTATGAGAATTGGTTAAAAATGTTGCAATTGCAGATAGAATCACCTTTCTTTTTGATCATCCCTTGTACGTTTCAGGTCCAATCTGGGGAAACCTCATATCATCGAGCATCTTAAGTCAAGGCATGATGCCTCCAGAAGAACCATTAACTAACTCTTCGATGAATGCCACTGTGGAAACAGAGGACCCGTACGCATTCTGTGGGGCAAAAATGTGTCCAATGGCAGCGCCATCTCTACCTGAGATCATAACAAACGTGACCAGTAACGTCACAATGGAGGACGCTCCGCTACATGCAATTGATATTAAACTAGTATGTCGTATTGTGTTTCTCAAAATTATTTTTTCATACATAATTGTAAAAAATTATGAAATATTGAAAATCGATACTTAACCATATGGATTTTGCTTGTTGGTCCATGAAAATCTTCTCTCAAGACCGCCTCTAGTTCATCAGCTTTGGTATGTTTGTGGATATAGGTTCTGCTCTTGGTTGGTATAGATGTCGCCCTGGGTATAATAGGCATGCTTATAATCGCCTTCGCAGTTGACAAGCTCGATGCACCTCCAGAGAAGTTCTCTATGAAAATAGTGAAGGCCGTTGGAAAACAAATGTGCACGAAGAGACAACTTCTACTCGTGCCCCTCACTATGTATGTCGGTATAGAGCAAGCGTTTATGATCGCTGAATATACCCGAGTAAGTTCTACTTAAATATTTTTAATGTGTTTTTAATCTTTTTAATCTTATGTATGTCAGTTGGTCTCTTTAAAAAATAGTGAGCAACAATTCATATTGTACACGCATTCAAATTTACCTAGAAATGTATTTTGAACATGTTTCAAAAAGTCTGAATATTATGTACGAAGTAGAAATACTGACGACAAATGTTCAAAAACTATTCCTTATAGGACTCCTCACATATGATCGAAAATCATCCGATGTCAACCTGCGTGTTTTTTTGTTCATATGTGAGGAAGCCTTTCCATCTTTAAAACGATTTGTGTCCATGCTTGCATAGTTAATATATGGTTACTGTCATGTAATTACTTCCAGGCGTACACAGGCTGTGCTTTGGGTATCCATATGATCGGCTACAGTATTATGTGCTTCGGTATTGTTGGCGCAGTGGTCTCATTGGCGTCGGGGTTCGTTGTAGAACGCCTGGGCCGTATTGTAGTAATGGCTGCTGGTGAGTTCAGTTATACTGGTTCAATCACAACGGGAAACGCTATGATACACACTACTAACAAGGGATACTAGATTTGGTATCCATAACTAATAAGATGCGAGACTTTTAATTGTAAAAACTGCGTAGTAAAAAAATAGATGTCGCGGTTTTGATTTTTTCCGTTCTACCAATCCAGTGATATGCTAGAATGATAGAGACAAAATATACAAGGATTATATATACTTTGTAAATTATCTTTGATATGTATATTAATACTTCAAAGTTGTAGAAATACGTTTAGACTTGTTCCGCCATTCGAATAAAAATATATTTCTACAACGTTTTAGGTCTTGCGATGCACGGAGTATTACTTCTCACTTTCCTTTTGTGGAGTCCTCATCCCGACCAAGCCTATCTATTTTTCATATTCCCAGCTCTTTGGGCTTTCGGGGACTCTATTTGGCAGGCTCAAATTAATGGTAAGTTTTGAGTATCCTCTTTAGAAAGCTCGTGGCGACAGATATACTGTAAATTGGCAAACTTAGTCAAATACTGACAAATACTGAATCTATGTATTTAGTAAGATAACTGTCTCTTATTTTTTCAAATGAATGCTATAACAATCACCCAATCGTTATTTTAAATTACCGTGCTACATTAGAATAATACTTTTGTCACGAAAGGTTTAAAGGAACGTCTGTATTGTATCTAAGAGAACCTCTGTACAGGGTGTTTCATACGTGTTCACCCCCTCTAAAATCATTGTCACCCTTCCTATCATGTTATATATCGTTTTGTTCCTCATATAAAGTTACATAATATCACAAATGTTCAGAATCCAGGGATGTATTTGAAAAATAGTTTCCGTAAATTTGCACATCTCTGGCATTTATTATCATCATAGGGTTCAGTCCATATGCCTATTAAAGTTATTCACAAAGATATATAGACAGGAGTCATTCAGTGGCTTATAGAGAGGCCAGTGACCATAGCCATCGCCTTCAGCACTAAAAATGGGCAACGGACAAAGTGAACAGATCACTGGACTGGGTCTAAAGATACTTACAAAAATGCTTATGAATTACCCCATAACCACATACTTCGATACATTATATCTTTTCTCAGGGACACCTCTTGATTTTGAAACATTGTAATCTTATATAACCTTTCATAAGGAACAAAATTGTATATACCATGATAGGGTATCAATGCTACATGTATGAGTTTAGAGGGGTTGCATATATATTAAACACCCTGTATCTTGGAAAAATCGTCAAAATTGGTCATTTTGTTCAATCAGTTAGATAGGAAATTGGAAATGTTAAATCGGTTGTTAAGTTGGTTTATTTGTGATATCTTTTTATTTTCAGCTTTATATGGAGCAATCTTTGCCGAGGATTCCGACGCAGCGTTTTCCAACTACCGGATGTGGGAAAGTCTCGGTTTCATAATTGCATACATCTACAGCGCCCTCTTGTGTGTCTATGTAAAAATATATATCGTGATGGCTGTACTGGTAGTTGGCTTTGTATGCTACTTAATTGTAGAAATAGGGTATAGAAAAGAACAAAAGAACTTAGAAAATAAAGAAAACGATAAACAACGATTAGATGATATTGGAAGAGCGGAATATGCCCGAATTACTCAAGTTCAGACTGAAAAGTTTGTTGGAAACCCCGATAGAGAGTCGGTTATATAAATTATGTCATTTTATTTTACAAAATGTGGCAGCATTTGTTTAGTATCATATCATATTTTATTTACATTATGTTACAATTCTATATGCATCTAGAAATAATATACAATTTGAATAAATACAATTAAGCTATTCTATATTTTCTGAGTCCATTCATTTTGAGTTAAACGTCCATGTGCAGTATGGCAAGTGATTTTAGACAGTCATATATTTCACCATGAATATTTTCTAAAATAAATACAGTGATTTTTATTAAAACAATATGTTTTCTTTAACGTGACGTCCCCATGCTAGTAGAATATAAATCCCACTCTCTGAAAAAATATGAATTATGACCCCACCTTGTTACTTTTTAAACAATTAAGGCTTATTTTCTAAAAAGAGGATCTTGTTTTTCTCATTTTAAATGCATCAAAAGTTTCTTCTACACTATATTAATAACTTCTGAAAATGGGATGGGTATTGAAATGCGATGAAGTTAAAAAACACATTTCCAATGTTATTTTCTCATATGGAAAACTCATGCAATCCGTTGTTTTCAGCATGGCTGTGGTCATCGAAAATAGATATCTTCAGAACTCGATTTTCAATACCATTCAACTTTTGAAGATGTTTTAGACCCCTTGTTGAATAATGTTTTCATGCAAATCAGAAAAAGAAGAAAACAGTTTTAACATTTTGAAAAAAGTGTTGACGTTATCGTGCTCGATTGATTTATCATCACGGGGACTTCACTTGAAAGAAAATATATTGTTCCAATAAAACCACTGTATTTATGCCCAGAAAGTGCTCATGGTGAAAGATATGACCGTCTTAAATCACTTGCCATATTGCAATATAAAGTAGAGGTATGATGGTGTCTTTTTTATATATCTCACATTTCTGTTTTGTTGGCAATATGCAATATGCATTGTTTCTTGACATATTGTCATCTGATAGGATAACTAAAACGTTAATGAAATGCGTTGGTCATCATACACGCATTTCTTACGTCCATGGTAACAGAATTGGCATCGTATGACGTGCGTTGTTCCATTGGTTCAAAAGTCCTGATAGGGGTTAGAAGAAGATCTCAGTTGTGATACTCGAAGCCTCACTGTAGCTTGCAAAGTGACCTCTTATTTGCTGATATCAGCAGAAAGCCAATTACTTAATAAAATGGTGGCCAAAGTTAAGATTACTGTTTACATATGAGTGCATGGTCTCATTTAAGACCTAATGAAGCAGTGTGTTGCTTTGCTTTCAGTCTTAAATCTGCTATGCTTGAAGTTTTAGTGGCCTTGAAACTACTGTCCGCGAGTGCGCTGAGATTCAAAGGATAAGGGGGTGGTGGATAGAACAGCATCGATGGAAGAGCCGGATGTGACGCATGTGACCCGTCATATGGATTTATATGAGGAAGATGTAATCGGTCAAATGCCATGCGCATCGAGGGCATATTCACATACGGAGCAACTCTACATCCATCTATAGAGGGTGGTGTTGAACCAAGTATCAATCCTGGAAAAAGAAAAGTACGTGAAGGCATATATAACGTACTTTGTAAATCTCTTCATACAAGATTTGGTCCCTAGCTGTGCACGGAACAATATCATGGCATTTGTCTATCTATCCCGGCAATTAACGTTTTCCATGGTTCGGGGGATATCATAATTTGTACCATGGTCAGAACAATATCAGGTATATAATAGCAAGTGATAAATCACATATTTGGGACAGGGACGATATCAGGGATGATATTGGGTTTAAATGGATGATATCAGGAATGCTATTGATACCATCCCGGGTAAATTCCCCAAATTTACAATTTTTTCCCAAAAATTCATTTTTTCAAAATCTTAATTTTAATAATTTTTTGGTGAATAACTACTTTATATATCATAAAGTTGAATTCTGATTTTTTTTTATTTCTTTATTATTCATTCATCCGTGTACAGGTCAGTAACCGAAAAATTCTTCAAAACCATGCAGGTTTTACCATTCTGAGCACTTTTCAAGGGATTTTGGCCATTTTGGGTCCAAACTTCTCAAATGATAACCCCCTGGAAATTTTTAAAACGTGACCCTCTTCGCAAAAGCTGATTTTTGTCCTGATGTAAAATACTGCAATATTATATCAAGCATTAGGAATGTGCCCACTACTAACGTGACCAAATCACAATGAATTGACGAGCATTTGATATAATGCGACTATATGAATGCTCCATATTTCAAATACTTCAGGGGCTAGCTCTTCTCTTATGATATCATCAAATCGAAATAACTGAGCTTAACCATCGGAAATATTTCATTTAATTCAATCTGATTCCATCAGTGCTTATCAAAGCGCTTTCATGTTTTGAGTTGTATTTGAGAAGTATTTCACGTCCAATCAAATTAACGTATTTATTCACTCCATTTCACAGTTTTGTCTATGGAGTGGTTTATTTGGCTTCCTTAATAAAGGAACGATATTGGAGACAAATTGAATATAATTTTAAGGAATCTTCCACAAAGACATGTAATAAGATTATCCCAGGGTTTGAATGACATCGAATTTCTATTAAAGGAATTTAGCGTATAGTGCTGTAATTAATTAAATTATAAGATAGCTCATTTATTAAGGGCTAACTAATTCAATTATAGAGATGAGAATTTTGAGTAAAAAGACAGACGCCTTTGAAAGAAGAAGAAATTGTAAATATTGACTTTGGGATCACTAAAACGTACGAATCGACAATTCAGAGCTAGAGTAATGATCTTTCTATGGATAAAAAGTTTCGGATTTTTGAATTAAAAATGCTGCGTAAAATAAGATAAAGTGATATTACAATTAATCTTCGTAACTTTCGTATTTTAGAATTAAAAATGCTGTGTACAATAACAATACAAATAATCCTTCATAACTGAACATTTACCATATAAAGTAAGGTCTGAATTTCCGATGTTGTGTTATATTAAATCTACCCATACTTTGCTTACACAAAGAACGGGTTTACCATTGTTTTATAAATCTTATGACAAGAACATTATTGTTGTTGCTCTAATGACACACATACATGTATATGCATCAATCCTTATTGAGTGTCCTGTATATGTTTACCATTGAGTATACATTTCTTGTAATGTATCTGGCAAACACACTTTCACTTTCGCATTTTGAAAGTTAAGTAGGACCTTTCTATCTCAAACGTCACTTGTCGAGGCAAAAGTATTCGGATTGACAGGTGTTCACATGTTAAGGCTTTTTAACATGAAATACAATGGGAGATTAAAAATGGAACTGAAAATGATTCATATTGAGATGTATTTAGATTTGTGAGGTTTTCGGATATTCAGGTTCTACTGCAATGCTGTACATTTTATTTTCAATGCTCGGACTCAAAAGTTACTTAATCCAATGAATCGATGGCTAAATCTTTGTTTGGGATATTAGGGTTTCGTTTTTGAGACTGGTTGTACCGTTTAATGTTTCTTTGGTCTTTATCGCTTGACACTTGTGCTTGCATACCGATATTAAGACTAATTTAAATTTAGCTCACAGACAAACGAACAGCTTTAAAATTGTGACAACCATTAGGTAAATGGCTTCGTTAAAGTGTAATTGGTCGGATTAAATAAAAGGCGGTTCCCAATCAGTCCTAATGCTTTAAACATATTATTTCGAAAGAAGATGTTGCATACACAAGAAGTCTGGGAATGATATTGATGTAAACACGATGTTAAATCTAAAATCTGTGGTTGCGGGAAACAGCGCCAACGTATTTCCATATTGGAGCTTGTGCTTACATATGAACTTTGCACGGGAAACAGCGTCAACGTCTTTCTACGATATATGAACTTGTGCTTAAATATGAACTTTGCACCGATTGACTATTAGTTAAAACACACTAAAATTACTATCACCTACATATTGTTTGAGACAATTTTTTATAAAAGTTTACAACTAGAAAATCTTGATTGTCTTTTTATTTTCAAATATTTGAATTCTTCTACTTTATCCACAAATGTCTCGAGCATTTTTGTCTTTTATAAATCTACTTTAGATAAACTCTCGAGATTTTGCAATATTGATGGCCTTTCTAGTTTACAATAATTCACAAAAGGTGTTTATAATTGAACTGAATTCTGAAATGTAAACCCTTATTTTTCAACAAATGCTTTTGTTTTTAAACACATAATAGGCCTACACGGTTGGCCAAAAAACATCCACATTTTTATTTCTATAACAACTTTTTAAGGAATGCAAGGGTTTCAATAAGATTTTGACAGAATATGATTAAATCAGTGTTACCATCTTTCTTGACAAGGGATAAATAAATGAATCTCTTTGGTTTTCTGATTAGTACATGTAATTGTAAAAAAGCTCTGGAAAAAATCTCTAAAAATAATGTTTTTAAATGTTTTTTCACAGATTGGTCAGAACAAGTGTCCAAAATACGACACGATGGGCTTTGGATAGGACTAGTATTACGTTAACAGAAATTTTTTATCAAGGTTCCTAGTGCGATAAGACTACCTAAAAACCTCGATCAATACCCAAAAATGTATTCTATTGCACGAGCTGGGCCTATATATATTTTAGAGTATCCCTCATAGCGGCCATTATTTCGCTTTATCTAATTGTAGTCCCTGCTAGAGGTTAAATGTCAAAGGCTACATCATACTCGAGGACCATTACTCTAATAGGGGAAAATTGAAACAATTTCGCAAAATCACACAACTTAATTATTTCATTATGCTCCTTTGAACAGGAAATTGAATTAATTTCTCGGAAATTGGAGAGCGTTTTGAGTTAAATAGAGAACACATGAAAGGGTTGTTCAATAGTAATGCAATTAGAAAATAGCTATTTTACATGCATGATGCTTTCTTTTCTTCTTCCTAGCTATTATCAATCTTGAGGTAATACAATAAAAGATCTCGTTGAAATCTCGTTTTAATGAGATAAAAAAAAATGTACAGTAGCTAAGCATACGGATCTATACTTTGCAAAATTAGATGAAAGATTTCAATTTGGTGCGCATTCCTCTTGAACTTTTTTATATTCAGAGTTGATTTCTTGTGTTCAATTTCGAATGACTTAAATTATTGATGGTTGAGTCAAGTCTGACTCTAAGTTTATTCGTCTTGTTCTTAGATATATTGCTTGACAAAATGTTCATTTTAAAAAATGTTAGAAACAATAAAGGTGTTTATTGCTCAATATGGGCCTTAATTATAAGCTAATACCTTTATGAATCTGGCTTTCTTGTTTTCTGCATTTTGCTCGTCGATTCTGGAACCAAACCTGGAAATAAAAGTTATACATATTTATCAATTTTCAGTAGTTCTGCCGAAAAGAATTTTTATAACATACGATGTGTTAAAGGCAAAAATGCTAAAATAGGGAATACAGCACTAACATTATAAAGATCAAATCAATTAATAAAAGCAAAATATTATGAAATATTAATTTAAACCATTGAGTTGCAATATATTTAAAAAAATGAAAATATTATGTTCAAATACAACTGAGCCTAAATTATCATGAAACGAATTCTAACATTCTTTATCGTAACATTGGATGACTACAAAAATCAGTTCATTTTAATTATTCTAAATGTGAATATCTAAGGGTTATCTACTGGGGGGGGGGCTAGGATATGGGGTTTACAGAAAGAGAGATGCATACCTCCCTTGGAAACCGTATGGACTGAAGGTAGGTAGGAATCTTTCTCCCGATGGATAAACCCCATTTCCAAACCGGCCGTTATAACTTGAAATACACTCCCCTCCATAAGTTTGGCAACCTTTTTCCCCCATTGAACTACGTGTTAAAGCCTCTTTTTTATTTACTTAACCTGCGATGAAAATACTTATACTATTGATAGAAACGTAATTTGACTTTAATTCCAATACCTCCAAATTTTCTCAATTTTTTTCCTCAATTACAGTAGGTCTAAAATTGATAATGAATTTGATGAATTTTTGAAAATCGACATTCCCATGTTAACCAATGGGAAATGGTAGGTTTGCCGCAACTCATATGACAGAATATCCATCCATCCGAGTCCTTGCAAAAAATACGAGTTAGGCAGGTAATTGAATTTGCTAACTTTATTTAACAAAAAATTGATGTGTTTCTTCAGGTTCAACAAAGTTATAGGGCTTTAAAGTCAAAATTGTTTTTCAAAAAACCTCTTCCATTGAAATAACACAGGAGGCGAAAAATTCTTTTCAAAAATGACTTTGAAGCGCTGTAACTTTAATATTCATCAAATAAACTAAACACTTCGTGTTCAAAAAAGTTAGACAATTCAATTTTCTATATAAAAATATTTTTTGCTGAATCTTTTACTGAAAAGATATCCCGATTTCTGATTTGCCCCGAACCCTCCATTTCCAATTGGATTACATGGGAATGACGATTTTCAAAAATTCATCAAATGTATCATCAATTTTCGACCTATTGTAATTGAGGAAAAACATTGAAAAAATGTGGAGGTATTGGAAATAAAGTCAAGTTACGTTTTCATCAATATTATAAGTTATTTCATCGCCGGTTAAGTAAATAAAAATGCAAACGTAAAGAGACTTTAACACGTAGTTCAATGGAGAAAAAAGGTTGCCAAACTTATGGAGGGGAATGTAACAAGAGGCCCCACTATAAAAAGATGAGCCAACAACGTCCAAGGATAATAGGCCTACTCAGTAAAGATTTCTTACATTTTCAATTCTTTTTCAATTCTTTTCAATTTTTTTCAAAACCTTTTTTCAAAACCTTTTTTCAAATTTTTTATTAATAATATTTTTTCATAATTTTCTTTGAAAATTTTAATTACCGAAAGTGGGAAGATATGCCCAGGAGGGGGAGATATGGCGGGAGATGGAGGTTCTGGATAGGGAAACCTCAAAATCATGAGACGGGATAAAGCTCACCAACTTATCTCCCTAAAACTCTTCAGGCCATAGGATAAATAAAACGTATCTCTTTAGTATTTTGCAATTGCATTTCAAAATCCGAACAAACGCATTTCCTCTTCTCAGTTAACCAAAAATATATATAAATACAATATACAATTTTTTACAGTTCTGCCCAACAAATTTACATATTTTTTTCTTTTTTTAATCAAATGAGCCTCAAATGGAATTTTGGTTGGATGCAGCACCCATATGCTTTGATGAAAATATTTATTTTATTTAGAACCCGGATTTAAGGGAAGCAACAAGTGCACCGTACTTCGTTGACAGAGCTTGGAAACCCCTCGGCTGATTGCGAAAGCCCACAGCGGGAAAAGCTCGTAAGTAAAATTATGCCATTACTTTAATTAAGTCATTAATTTAGCTAAACCTCTGTCGAGTACCAGAGAGGCTAATAGATTTAAGTAAAATGTAATTTAATTACTGAACCAATTAGGCGGTGCGAAACATTCACACCGTGGCATCTTCCGATGGCGTAATTTGTTAGAAGCAGACTTTTCTCACCTCGTAACGGGATTAGAAACGAAGCCCTAAATCAATTGATATCCAGTCAAAGAACTTTCACCAAGCTCTTTCCAAATAAATAAAACTTACGATTAGGTCATTTTTCCTCGGCGTAACGTTAAATAACGTCCAAGTCGGTAATTTTTTACACACTTATGATAATTCTTAAAATGCGATCATCGTTTTTTTTGTGGTTTTATACTGGACCAGGTGCCAAAATTAGATAGACAATTCACCATATGAGCAGTTGTGTTAAATTCTAACAGAATAATACCAATACAACTGTATTAACACTTAGTGGATATATACAATATACGAAACAACATCGCTGATTATGGCACATTTTTAAAAATCCTAGTTATAAATCGATATTTTAATTTTTCACTGAGTACCTCAGCTATTAAAGGTTATCTTTACGAAAGTGTTGAAACTTATTTTTGAATTAAGTTCACAAAGGAAATCTTTACAAGTTTTTTTCTAAATGTATATATATTTTATTTCAGCAAAACTAAATATTAACTATGTTCATTTTCCAATAAATTCTGATCACATAATTATCATTTTGGGGAATTACACAATTTTACATTTCAATCTTAACCCCATTTTTAACCAGGGAAGAGGGGGGGAGTGAGCTACAGTTAATAGACAAATATTCGTGAATCGGGTTCTCTTCACGAATTTGAGAGAATAACGTTTTTCTCAAAAACTACTTGATAAATACCTTTGATCTTTTTTGCATGTTACTGAACTGTCACAAATTTTGTCTCTGACATCACTTTTCCACGCATATACATTTAAAATGTGCAAAACACATACTTATATAATTAGCCAAGTGACCAAATATTCTTTCCTAAATCCCTTACACACTTAACCCCCCCCGAAAATAGTTCAATTTACATTGTGTCTGTCGAAAAGAACTTCCAATAGATGTATTCACATGAAATTGACGAAAATAATTCAATTAACATTGTGTGTCTCGAAAAGATCTACCAATAGATGGCGCACTCACATGAAATTGACGCATTTGCGCAATAAGTTACAGCGAAGTCCATTACGATACCGTAATCTCCCCGGGGACGCGCTAGTTTCATCCGCATTAGGCGTACGTCATTATTCATCAGCCTGTAGTTTAAGCTTGTTCAATATTTCATTGTTAATTTAATAAATCCATTATGTATTTTAGAAGACGATCGTGTTTAAATAGTTAATGTAATTATGTGATAAATATATATAATAGTTTCAACTAATTAAATAAGGGTATATTACATCGAGGTTAGGGGAGAGAGTTAAACAAATTACACTTCCCAGTAGACTGACGTCTTCGATGTCACAGTACCGTTGTCATGAGAACACTGTATATTTCAACATTCCGAGAAATAGGCATTGTATTGCATTTATTGCATTGAGTTTGGTTGTATTACAATGTATTGTGTTATATTGTATTCTATTGTGATGTGTTGAATTATTTTGCATTGTATTATATATTGTTTTGTATTGTATTGTACTGTATTGTGTTCATTGTATTGTATTCCACTAAAATCTGATAACATTTCATTGTATAGTACCGCATTGCATTTAGATGTTGCGTATATTGTACTCCGTTACATCATTCTATATTTTATAATTATGAATGAACCTCTCCGACATCCCTATAATGAAACTTTTTTGTTGATTTTGATTAACCGTAAAATGTATTCCATCATGAATTCAATAGGTGTAACTCAAATGAATCGTCGGCTTGGGAGTGATACACCATTGATGTGGCAATTGGGAGAGTGTAGTTATTAACAAAGTGTGACACTGTACCCGATTACTGCTCGGTGGCACTCACGTATGTTTAGTGAGAAACAGACTTTAGAATTTTGATGACAATCGAAGGATTTCTTGAAAATGTTTACTTCAGGGATTTTTTTGAAAATATATAAATAGAATGGAATTAGCGAGACGGATGAAATGTACATACTGGCTCTCTCGCCCAAATCACGCAAACTCATTCGGATATTAGATATCTCTGTGTGTATCAAGTTTCTAGGTGGATAACATGCGTTAATAGATATATACATGTACTATGAGGTTATATAATGGTTCTTTCTGTATATCGTGTTTATACTCGAGTGAGTATATGATATATTCACAAGTGAGCGTAGCGAACGAGTGAATATATAATATTCTCACGAGAGTATAAAATGCACGATATACAGAATGAACCATTATATAATCTTATTATGCCACTCTAAGTTCAATTACAGTTGATTCGAACACAATCATAACAATTAAAAACCATAAAAATATCCCATAGCCAACTCAATAATGCTGATGTTGATCTCGAACCATTTATGACGTGGCTTGATTCTAGCAAATCATGCCGGAACCATTTATGACGTCACTTGATTGTAGGAAATCATGAAAATTTTCATGATTTGTTTTATTCATTAGTTCCCAGAATGCACTTCTACAGTGATATACGCTGGAGTGTATACGGAGGAGTTGTATACGATGACGATATACCACTCTCCACTGTATATCGTTGTTATAGACCCATGTTATACAACTGTAATTGGACTTAGAGTGGTATAAATATGTTTATTGTACGGGTTAAAATCAATTTTGAAAAAATATTCCGAATTGTGTGTGGAAATAAACAGTAGAGGTGCTTTTTAGATACAGTGATAGCCTTTGAGTATCCATATCGATTACAGCGTGGGGATACGTATTATATCTAACACCTCCCAGTGCGTGACCCTTAAAATCTTCATTTTTATCTGCTTTTAAATATTTTCCCTCCGTGCGGTTGACTTTTGTGAAATAAATGGAAAACTGCAT